CCTAGGAATAACAGAGATTTTCAATTTTTTATTTTCTTGAGTTCTAAAGGAAAAGAACAGAGGAGGGATGGTGAATTTAAATGTTTCCACATCTCTAATGACAATCCATTTCATTTGAGCAAATCCATCTTAAGGAAGAGGCAGCACAAGAGACTAACCATTGTAAGAGGGGTCTACTAGTATTATCTATTAGTACTATTTACTAGTACTGAGCTGCTTCTGAATTAACCCCTTGCAATCAGAAATTCACTCATCACTGCAACCTGCCATTGCTCAGTGATGAGAATAGCAGGTGCATCTGTTTAAAACCCTCTTTTTTTTTTTTTTTAATGTTGTATTTATTTCTAGGAGAGAGAGAGAGAGAGACAGCGTGAGCAGGGAGGGTCAGAGAGAGAGGGAGTCACAGATTGAAGCAGGCTACAGGCTCTGAGCTGGCAGTCAGCACAGAGCCCGACGCGGGGCTCGAACCCACGAACCTCGAGATCATGACCTAAGCAAAAGTCGGACGCTTAACCGACTAAGCCACCCAGGCGCCCCTAAAACCCTCTTCTAAACCCAGAGTGGAGGAAGTCAAACCTTTGTTTCTCGGGAGAACCAGGGTCACCACAGCTGTATGAGAGAGTACAATCACCAGAGAGGAGGGAGGGGATGGAGTGTGTGATGGGAGTAGAGTGTGTGATGGGAGTAATGTGCAGCGCGGGTGGTTGGGGTCTCATTTACCACCCTTCACCCAGGAGCAGAAGCTCCCTGTTCGCATCCATGGGAAGGCCTCCCCAGCTGAAGCCTGCAATCACACTTCTACAGCCTGGGCCCAGGAGCACTGGGTGCCTTTTTCTGATTCCTCTGTTCCCAGTAACCCACAGCACAGCTCTCAATTACCTCTCTAAATCTCCCAACTTTCAGTCAGAAGAGTGAACAAGCAATGCATAGACCAAAAGAAAGCCAACTTTGAAAAGCTACGTTTGTTTTAATGTGGTCTTTGCTTGGATTATTTAGTTCTCCTTGTCACACCACAGCCACTGGAGGGGGGAGGAGAATCACCCTGGGGCCTGCATGCTATAGGACAGCAGCACTCTCCAGGAGGCCGAGGGACAGGGGCCTCAGTGACTGAAATGAAAGCAAGTGCCCAGGGATGGGGAGACCTGGAGAAGACGGATTCCACCTCCCAGGCTAAACCTGGAAGCTCTGAGGCTGATCCTTGGTAATTGGGATGATATAAACTTGTGTTGTTACGACAGGGCATTTTGGTGTTCTAGCTTCCAGCAAGGCAAAGGATACCATCTGAAGAGTCGCCTCCAATGTCAGAAAATGATCAAAAAGCCAAGAAGCAGTCACTTCCACTTCAAAAGCAGCTTTCCAATGGCTCTCTCATGCAGTCGATATTCAAGTATGTTGAGTTCTGGGGGCTCAAGGAGTGGGAGGCTCATCCAAATAACCCCTACTCCAGCTCCATTAGGTGCATGTTCAGTGAATATAAATGCATCCTCACTATGGTCAACTGAAGCCAAACATTATCACAGATAAATGTGCTATAAGTTGTCCCCTAAAGGCATTCAAAAGTCAAATATTAAGGGGGCACCTGGGTGGCTCAGTCGGTTAAACGCTCAACTCTTGATGTTGGCTTAAGTCATGATCTCACAGTTATAAGACTGAACCCCATGTCAGGCTCTGTGCTGAGCATGGAGCTTGCTTGAGATTCTCTCTCTCCCTCTCTTTCTGTCCCTGCTCAAACTCTCTCTCAAAAAAAATTTTTTAAGTCAAATATTAAGGATTAATGCTCTCCAACCATTAATTCCCACTGTGCTTCAAAAGGTTTTATCATTAGGGCACCTGGGTGATTCAGTTATTAAACATTCAACTCTTGATTTTGGCTTTGGTTGTGATCCCAGGGTCATGGGATCGAGCCCCATGTTGGGGGTCTGAGCTGGCAGTGTGGAGCCTGCTTGGGATTCTCTTGCGTGCTTCCTCTCTCTCTCTGCCCGTCCCCCACTCACATGCACACACTCACACAAAATAAACTTTAAAAAATAATAACATCAAAAATAATTTAAAATTACAAAACAGTTTTGTTATAGCAAGAGGTGAGACTCAGGGAATGTGAAGGATTTTGTAACCGGGACACATGCATTGTCTGCTTCACTCACCACATCAGGCCAGACATTTATTCTAATGACACCTCCATTGCTAGTGGCTCCCCTCCCCCAATCCTTCCACACCAGCTACTTCCCCACCCTCTGGGAATTGCATCCTTTAGAATATCCTGATTGGTAGTAACTTGACCTTCTCTGAGAATGGATTTGATCTGGGGAAGCAACCAAGTCCGGTGAGCAAAGAGGCTGAATCTAGCTTGATTATACCAACTAGGGTGAAGCCCAAGTTAGGACTGTACAAGGAATGAGGTTGATCTGGTGATGTATATAATTCTGTCTTGAAAGCCATTCCTAAAGGGAAGTGGCAACTGTCTTCAACAGAGACTTCATTGTCAGAAAACACATGCTTCCCGAGGCCAGCATAAATCCTGGTAGGTTTTGAATCTCTTTTGTTACTTAGTCATCTGATACTCATTCTTCTGGATGGCAGCTACATTTTGGCTATATAGGTTTGGCTATTCCTCAGCAAATTTAAAAGCTTTTCTGATTTTACATAAAATAACGGTCATCATAGTTTATTTTTTTTCTTACCTGCTCAAAAATAACATGGGTGCTGTGAAAGGTCAAAGGCCACCAGTTGTCCAGTGGATTTGGCATAAGCCAGTTGAGAGAAGGCGGAAGGCACCATGGACAATTCTGAATGGGGGCAGGTGGGCTTGGCTGGGTCTCATTCCACAGGTACTGGGTCAGAGGGTGGCTGTAGGACCACTGCCCCCACTCCCACCCCACTTTTAAGATGAAGCAATTAAGCAATTTGTAGCCTAAGACCATGAAGACAAATGGAAGAAGTTTTCCCCTCCTCTCTAGAAGCTTGCTTGGATCAGACCATAAAGGAGAAGTGGGAAACAACGAGAAAAGTCAGGGTGATTCCCCCAGTACACATCTTAAACCAGGTGGGCTGGACAGACCACTGCCCTGCACTCTGCCTCGTGCCCCAGCCCCTGCTGGCCCAGAGGGAAGCCCTAGAAATGGCTCCCTTCAATGGGCAACAAGTGTTGGGCCACAGGAACTTTAACAGTTGGCCCAACCCTCTCCTGGGAAACCAAAGCCTAAAGGTTACCTGTCAAGGTCGCAAACTAGCCAGTAGCAGGGCCGGGATGAGGGTTCTTTTCACTAGCCACCATCACATACAGAGGAAGTCTTGGCCAACTGCCATAAATGACTGAAGGGAGGAAATGATATTATGCAGCCTGTGAGCAGATCAGCGAAGGGGCCTCCGTGGCTCAAGATTGCCTGGCAAAGGGCAGCATCGAACCTCCCAGTAATGACTTCTGAGGGAGGAGAAGGAAAAGAGGAGTACAGATAAATTTATTAGTTAAATACTGATTTTACAGCCATTTCACCTTAAGACAATGTTAACAGGTTGTGGGTTAGGGAAGGTATATGAGGGTGGCCTTCATGGAAGAAAGCAATGTAATGATGATTAAAACAGAATCTTGGTTTAAAAATATTCTCTGCTACAGCCAGTAGGACTTTGGGGTTGGGAGCTGGGTATCTGAGGGGAAGATGTGGTAAGGCCACAGTCAGCTACAGTTCTGTTGATGATGAGGACCAGGAAGGAGAAGTCTCTGTGAGCTCCAGCATCTCGGGCAGAAAGGGCAACATGGAGAGGAGAAGGCGGCCAATTCCAGGAAAGCACAAAAGCCAGGGACTCCCTTGAGGCCTGCCCTCAGCATCTTCTCTTATTGGCTGTTGTCTTTCTGTTAGGTCTGTGCCATGTTGAGCTGGTTTGCTTTGAATTTATGTTGCAAGATCCCCAGCTTTTTGCCTCCTGGACGAAAGGTGTCTTCTGGGGAAAGGATGTGGGTAGGTGCAGGGGCTCCACACCCCTTGGAGGAACTCAGCCTGCTGTCTGAACAAGAGGCACATCTCTGCAGAACGAGAGTGTCGTCCACGAGACCTAAGCACAAGAACCCACGGAAAGCCCCTGCCCGTGCTCAGTGCTGGCCCCAGCCCCGGGGATGGTGTCTGCCAGAAACGTTCTCCTGAAGGATCTCGAGTCTCAGGTGAGTGTTTGTCAAACTCACTTTAGCAGCAGAACCTTTTCTGTACTTGCTTGAGACCTGCCTGTGTGTGATGGGGTAGATGAAGATTTTGGGGGGCAGGCGTGGGGAGGCTGCCATGTGGCTAAACCGCCAAGCTTTTGTTTTGCGGAGGGAGACACATGTTCAAGCTGAAGGCAGAGCTGAATCACTCAGCAGTGGAAGGGATTTTATTTGAGGCCTTGGGGGTGAGGAGAAGGAGCGGAGGCTTGAGCCTTGGGTCAAGGAAAGGAACTTGGGGGAGGCGAAGTTGCCAAGTTGCAATTTGGCCAAAGCCACACCTTGCAGTGGGTGAGGTGGCCCTCTCCTCCATCTCCCTGCAAAGCATTCAGTAACACGGGCATTACACCCAACGTTTCAGGAGCCATGATTTGGTATTGAGGAATGCAGGGGCATGCCAAACCTGAAGGGGGAGGGGTGGGCAAGGGCAGCAGCTGCCCAGAGGGCTTGTCGCATCCAAATCCCAGCACCTTGTCCCCTCCACCCACCCTCAGAGCCCCAGTGCTAGGAACACCATGGAAAAGCAGCCATCTTAGGCCACAGTGGTGGAAAGGCAGAGGAGAAAGATATCTCATCTCTTGTAGGGGAGGGGTGGGTGGAAAACAAGAAAGAAATCTCTTACTCCACAGAAGGGACTTAAATGTGCTCGTAGTGAAGGGTGGGCTCTTCCAGATCAGAGTCTGGGCTCTTTCCAGTCGCCTACCCTTGAAAAGGCATCTGATAAAATCCAATACCCACTTCCCCTAAACCAAATTGTCAGCTTCAAGTTTCTTCCCAGTTGTTCTTCTGGAGTTATTCCCCGACAGAGCAGGCCGGGCCCTGGGAGCCCAGAGCCTCATCTCTGCTGTCCTCCAAATCCCAAGTCCGTGCCGAAATCTGAGGAGGGAAGGAGGTGACATTATGCAGTGATTATGTCCCCATGACTGTCAGCCAAGGCCAGGCTGTTCCAAGGGTCCTGCTTGGAGCTGGCCTGCGGTGACTGGCTGACAGAAGACGCGTAGCCTGGTGGGGAAAGCTTCAGGGCCGAGAGGACCGGGTGGATGGAGGGCCCGTGGCCAGACATCGCACTGACTGAGAACGTCTGAAAGCAAAAAGTGCAAGATGAGCTCAATAGAATCACTCCTGAGGGCTCAGGAGAGGAGGTGTGGGCTGGAGAGGGGAGCCCCGGTGCACAGGTGTCCCCCAGCTGGCTCCCACCCCTAGGAAAAGGAGGAGGGGAGAGGGCCCCAGGACAAGGGCAGGTCAAGACAGCAAGCAGCATTTCCCTGTTTTTCCTAACCCCCATGCTGTGGGACCCAAGGGGTCTGGGTGATGCATTAGCTTGTGAGCACTGTGGCCCGGTAGAGGCTTGTGGATATTCTGGTTTCTCAGATGGCTTGTGTAGTTACATGAGCCATCTTCCATGATCTTATCCCCATCAGATCTCCACACCCGAAAGAGGCTCCTGGCTCCCCCGGTTCGATGGGACCTGCTTCTTTACCCTGACAGTGAAAAGCTCTTTAGGATACAGCCTCCCTCAAGCGTGTGCAGAGGATAGGTCAGAGTTCACGGTAACCAAGCTGTAACCAAGCTTGGGAAGCAGTCGCCAAGCTTAGGACTCTCCTAGTCCCAAATAGGGGAACCAAAGAGGGAAGGGGTTGGGGAGGAGGAATGCCATCATATTTGGTTGCAGGAAAGGACAGGACTGCTGACTCATCTTCTAGACACACGCGTGAAGCTGGACCTGTAGCCAACCCTCATTAAACAGCAGCCTGCCTGTGACCTCCTCACCAACCTCCTGCCTGCCCACCCTACACCCCACAGTTTCCACACCTCTGCCCACGCCAGGAGGGTCCTCCTCCATCCCCTCCTCCTGCTAAAACCTACAAAACCTTCAAGGCGAAGGTCACACCACCTCTCACTTAGAAGAGAGACTTGCTGAGAAAGCCCATGCACCACCTTCTAGAACCTTCTACAGTTGTAGAAGCATGCAGTCTGATTCAGGTTGTGGCTGTGCCCTAATGAGTCCTTCCCCTGGTCTCTGAAGGCCCTGGCACATTGGTGTGTTGTAGCTGTGTGTCCAAATCAATGTAATGTGATCAGATGTGCTGAAATAGATTCTTGTGCAGATAGCCCCTAGCCCCAGCCTTTCAGGTGGGACCCCAAGGGCACCCGGCGGCTCCTGCTGCCACCTGCTGGGGCCCTGCTAAAGTGCGTGTTCTGGTGCTAACCTGGCCACCTGGGGCTCTGAGGTGTACTACCCCACGGGCAGCCCCGTCTCCCCACCCAGGGATGTACCTGGGCCATGGAGCTGCTGTGGCCATGGTAGGCCGACAGCCCGGGCTCTGTCTTGATGGGGCGCATCTCTTCACTGCTGCTGGTAGCTGCGTTGCTGGAGTTGCTAGAGGCACTGGTGGCGGGAGGAAGGCTCTCACTACCTGAGGGACCTAAAATAAGGCAGAGTCAGGATACCCAGGCCAGGAACACAGCGAATGGATGGCAGTTCTTTGAGACAGCCAGGGGAAGTCTATGCCAACAGCTGTATTCCTATGTCCTGGGGAATGAAGCAGGGTCCTTCATCAGGGCAGGGTGACAATTCTCAAAATGGGACAAATGAAAATATCAGAATTCCAAGGGAAAGTTTTCAAGTGACAGGCTCACCACCCCTTATTCCAAATTCTTGAGACCACCTGTTTCAGGATTCAGAAGTGTTTGGATTTTAATACGGTATATTACAGAATACTCGCAGTGGAGTCTGAGATGACACCTTATAACTAAAGATATTAATTGTTCTACAGCAAAATGTGAATATTCACACATGGGGTAAATAAAGACTATGACAGCCTGAATCTGTTCAGTTTTTGCTGCCCAATCTAGCTCCCTGCATTGGGAATTTCGGATAGGGGCTGCTCACCAGAACCAAATGCTTGCTCTCTCTACCACTGCAACATGTAAGGAGGTGAGGTTACCAAGGGGAACGTGCTGTGCTTCTAAAACAGTGTGGACATAGGGAGAAAGGCTGAAGACCACTGGTGTGAGACACAGAAAATTAGATGTAATAATAAATAAGATCTAAGATAAAATACCTAATCAGATATACTGCCAGAAGGGGTAAGCCATTGTTGAATTTGGGAAAGGAAGACTTGGGTCATGTTCTCAGTAGTGGAAAAGGAAAATTTATCTGTTTTTGTTTTTGTTTTATGTTTATTTTTGAGAGAGACAGAGTATGAGCAGGGGAGGGGCAGAGAGAGGGAGACACAGAATCCAAAGCAGGCTCCAGGCTCTGAGCTGTCAGCACAGAGCCCGATGCGGGGCTCTAACCCACGAACTGTGAGATCATGACCTGAGCCAAAGTCAGATGCTTAACTAACTGAGCCACGCAGGCACCCCAGGAAATGTATCTGTTTGTTGTGCCTTAGATTAGAAGATAAACTTTCCACTGGATTAGCTGATTTATTTTCTCTGCAACTGCAGCATTTCCCAGTGAAATCTTTGATTTGGTAGCAGTACTGAGGAGGGAGTGCTCTTGATAGGAACATAAGTAGTCCTCATTCTTCATCTAGAAACTGAGAAGACAAAGTGGCATATTGGACAGACCATGGACCTTGAAGTGTAAAAACTTGGGTTTTAATTCCAAGTCTACCCACTCACAGCTGTGTGACTGGTTAAGTCACTGCCCTCTCTGAGCCTCAGTTTGCTCGTTAGTAAAATGTAGATAATGGGTCTCAAGGGGGTCTTTAAGGACCAATGAGATACTAATTGTAGAGCAGCTTTCTAGAATGCTAAGTACTACATGATGTTAACTATACATTGGCTTACAAATCAATCTGTGGTGAGCATGACTAATGGAATCCTGTCATCCTAGATACCCCATTATCTCAAAGGGAACAGAATTGAGCTGAGTTCTTGAGAGACTGCAGTCCCAAAGATAAGAGGGACTGGTAATGTTCTTTTTTCTCTCTGGCCCTCAACCAGTCCAGCTGGCCCACTGCAGCCTTTGGTGCTGGCAAGAATCATGCAGCTTGACTTGAGCCTGCTTCAAAAGCTCCCAATATCTTGCATGGTAATGTTACTTTTCACTGTGTTATCATTCTCTCCTGAATGGCTGCAGATGGACAGGCTATCATTACGCCTGGTAGCCTGGACTGACCCACTAACTAAGAGTACATGAGTTTCACATATTCCAAGGGCCATTGAGTTCTTCATATAATTACACACAATTCTTTTCCTTACCTGCTGGTGTCTTAGATTTATTAAGGTTCTTGGGCTTCCGTTTTCTGGTTTGAATCCCCTCTTTCCGCATTGCAAGAGGCCTGGGGACCTAGAGAGAGTTACAAATCAATATATATGGTTTTCTACTTGTATGTGATCTGCTACCATATTTAAACATGCATTCACACTATGAGAAGGCAACATCTAAGTAGTTCCTCTACAAACCTGGGGGCTGGGACTAAGTGAATCAGCCCCTGGAGTTCCTGCTGAGAAAGAAACCAATGCTATTCAAGTATGTATTAAGCACCTACACTATATGCTGTGTATTACACCAGCGCAGGAGAAACGGAAGCTTAAAGACACTATTCCTTTCTTCCAGAGCTCCATAGTTTACTGGAAAGACAGACAAGTAGGAACCAACCAGACTCATAGGTGATGTGGGGAAACAGAGAGGAAACACTAAGCTCTGTCCTCGGTCAAGGAGGAGGGGAAGAGGCACATGACCTCATAAAGGAAGCCTTCACTGGGGAAGTGATGCCTAAGTTGTGGGAGGCTGTCAACTATACAAGGGGCAGGCATTTCAGGCAGCAGGAGCAGTGTGTGCAAAAGCCTTTAGTTTATCAGCAGCATCAGGATGCTGCAAAAGTGAAAAGGGTGCTGTTAATAATTATGCTAAGAAATAGGCAGAAACTGGTGCAGCCCAGTGAACTGAGATGTGAAGTCATTCTACACAGAGTGGCTCTGCACTGCATTAAGTCTGGTTGGAGCAAATCATGGTGTTCCATGGGTGGTGGGGAGAAACCAGAGATTATGTTGGGGAGACTGCCCTGGGGCCAGGTCCTGAGATAAACTATCCATGTGCAACACTTTCATGGCACTAACTTCTCATACACAAGCAGTGACTGTCAGGCATCATGCTCTTGAAATTCACAGATGCCTAAACAAGTGTCTGGGGACCAGGCTTGCTGGCTCATCTTTCGAGTACTTTTAAACATGTGCCCTCCTCACAGCTGGTTTCTCTCAGTCCAGGCCAACCAAATCTTCTAGTTACTGGTCTGTGCTTTTCTCCTGTATGGAACTAATAAAGGCCATATTTGAAATACTGAAAGAAAAGAAATTGCCACTTGAGAGACTAAACATGGAATGCTTAAGAGAGAAGGGTATCATTGTGTCAAGTTGAACCTGCCTTCTAGTCAACTGAGAAGTCAAACAGTGTTCCCATCTTTGGAGGGAAATAGCCTCTCTTCCCTCCAGCCTCCAACCCCACACTTTGATCCACTTGAAGCCCATTCTGGTCTCAGAAAAATAGAGCCCTTGTGTTTACCCCCACCGACCTCAGTACTTTTTAAAAAAATTATGGTAAAATACACATACCATAAAATTTACCATCTCAACCATTTCCAGCTGTGCTAATTACATTCACATTGTTGTGCGCATCACCACCTTCCACCTCCAGAACACTTCTCATCTGGCAAAACTAAAACTCTGTACCCAATAAACACTAACTCCCTATTATCCCCTCCCTTTGGCTCCTGGCAAACACCATTCTACTTCCTGTCTCTGTGAGTTTGATTGCTTTCAGCACCTCATGTAAGTAGAATCATACAAGATTTGTCCTTTTGTGACTGGCTTCTTTCACTTAGCAAAATGACTTCAAGGTTCATTCATCTGGTACTATGTGTCGGAATTTACTTCCTTTTAAAGGATGAATCATAGTCCCTTTTATGGACAGACCACATTTTACTTATCCATCCATGGACCCTTGGGTTGCTTTCACATTTGGCTCTTGTGACTACTGCCACTGTGGACATGAGGGTACAGATATCTGTTCAAGACTCTGCTCTCACTTCTTTTGGGATATACACCTAGAAGTGGGATTGCCGGGTCATACGGTAATTCTGTTTTTAATTTTTTGAGGACACAATCATTTTAACACCTGCATAGTATTCCTTTATCAGTTTCTTTTACAATTCCCCTATTGAAGAACAAGAATTTCTTTAACCATTTTCCTCCAGAAGGTTTTTTCCCTTCATTTGCACTATTACAGTGATTCAACAAACATCTTTGATATGTTTCTTTGCAGAAGGAAGTGTATTTTCTTATGAATGTTCTTGACTATATTTTCTACTATTTTTTCTCACTGTAATAAGAAAACATGGTAGACTTCTCATGATGATGAGCAGTAAATAATAGAAAGAATTGCTTAATCATTATATCGTACACCTAAGCTGAATATAACACTGTATCTTACCTATACAGGAATTCAAACAAAAAACCTAGTTTAAAAAAAGAAATAAAACATGAGACTAAGTTAGTAACAACCCCTCCCACTCCATTACCATCAATGCTGTCCCCCTGGGGCAACTGGAATACCAGTCTGTTAGTTTCTTTCATTTTAAAGCATTCTCAAACATGTGTGCACATGTACATATCTGTACACGTATTTACGTGTGTATTCATCCATCTTTATCTGTGTGTGTGTTTAACATACCCTTACCCCCATAGTACGGGGTCATACTATGTATATTACTTTGCAAATGTGTCTTTGTTACTCCAGGTCAAGATACATGGCTCTGACTTGACTAGTTTTAAGCTTCTGCACATTTCACACTATAGTTTGTGCCATAGATTAATCAACCATTCCTTTATGAGGGTTTATGACTGTTTCTTGTTTTGGCCACTACAAATACTGCAGCAATAAACAGTTCAAACATCATTCTGTACTGATTCTTTTATTGTTTTATAGGCTAGTTTCCCCAAAGCAGAGCTGGTAAATCAAAAGATTTGTATGTTTCTTATCCTTAGTAAGAACTACTAAGTTAATTTCCTAATGAATACTTGCAGTAATTCACAAGCAGATCAATGACATAGAAGAGTATTTCCCCAAATCCATACCAGCCTTTGACTATGCTGGCACCTGATCTTGGACTTCCGGCCTCTAGGAATGTAGAAATAAATTTCCGTTGTGTATAAGCCACCAGTCTGGTGTTTTCTAACAGCAGGCCACACGGACTAATGCCGCCTGTAAGGGCCCTTCTAAATCTAGGTACCTTTGCTAAGAAGGGAAAAATGAATTACGGCCTGAAGTTGGAAGACAAGAGAGAAGTGAATAACGGGAACGAACGTGTGGCCGCTGGTCGGGGCGCGCACCCTGCCTGGCAGTGGGGTCACTTACGCCATGGAGCTTCATGTAGAGGCCGCAGGCATTGCACACGGGCTCACCCTCGGCATTGCGGCGCCACAGTGTGGTGGTGGTGGTCTGGCAGTTGGCACAGGAGAGGCCCACTCGGCGGGAGGCGGACTGCAACAGAGAAGGCAAACCCTTCAAGTCCAAGTAAAAGGCTTGTGGTTGCTGCTTCTACTTCGCAGGGAGCGCTAAGGGGCTGGCACTAAGTGGGTAGCAGGGTCAGCCACAGTGGCACAGGGCGCCTGGGTGGCTCAGTTGGTTAAGCATCCAACTTCAGATCAGGTCATGCTCTTGTGGTTTGTGGGTTCAAGCCCTGCATCGGGCTCTGTGCTGACAGCTCAGAGCCTGGAGCCTGCTTTGGATTCTGTGTGTGTATATATGTATATATGTATGTATGTATGTGCATGTGTGTCTGCCTCTCCCCTGCTCACACTCTAATTCTCTATCTCTCTAGAAAAAAAAAAAATAAACATTAAAAAAAGTCTCAGAGCAGCCACAGAGCCAGATTCTCCCTTCACCTAAGCCACTCCTGGGGGTGCATGAGAACAAGGACTTCAGCTGCAGGAGAAGTAGAGTGAATTCTTTTCCTAACTGTAGCATTAGTGGCATTATCAGTCATTCATCAAAGAGCCCAGCAAACACTGGGCACTGGAGGCAGAAAAGCTTTTCTCAAAAGTAGAAAAAATGAGGGCTTCCAGTACCAGGCATGGGTGGTGGGTAAAGAATTACTATATTCAAGCATCATCGAAGACTGGATGGGCCTTGGGACTTCAAGAAAGGGAAACATCAGGACTCAACCCCTCCATTCCTCCCTTCCTAATATACATGAAAGCTAGTTTGTGTGGGTCAAAATCAAATTATACTAGAAAAGACCACGGACCCATGAGTCAAAAACCCTGTTACAAACTCTTTCCCAGCCATAGGCCCCAATACACCCTGTTTAATCTCCCTGGGCTCTGGGTTTTATAAGGTGAGGCTGGACTGAGAACCAGGAAGCCTGCGCTCAGGTTCCAGATAGGAGACTCAGTAGCCATGTGACTGTAAGGCTGAGGCTGTTAGCTTTTCTGAGCCTCCCTTTTCACTTCTGCAGAATCAGGTGTTAAAGCAGACGGTCTGGAACATCCTTGTAGCTCAAGCTCACTCTAAAGGTATAAGAAATTATGATGTTGCCAACCACCCACCCAACTCCTCAACCCACACTTTCTTTTAAAGATGACTTGAGGGGGTGCCTGGGTGGCTCAGTCAGTTAAGTGTCCAACTTCAGCTCAGGTCATGATCTCATGGTTCGTAGGTTCGAGCCCTGCGTTGGGCTCTGTGCTGACAGCTAGCTTAGAGCCTGGAGCCTGCTTCAGATTCTGTATCTCCCTTTCTCTCCCTGACCCTCCCCTACTCACAGTCTCTCTCTCTCTCTCTCTCTCTCTCTCAGAAATAAATAAAACATTTAAAAAAAAAGATGACTTGAAGAGGGTGACTGGGGGACTCAGTTGGTTGAGCGCCTGACTCCTGGTTTCAGCTCAGGTCACGGCCTCTCCATTACGTGAGTTCGAACCCTGCATCGGCTCTGTGCTGACAGTGCAGAGCCTGCTTGGTATTCTCTTTCTCCCATTTTCTCTCTCTCTGCCCCTCTCCCACTCACGCTGTCTCTGTCTCTCTCAAAAATAAATAAATAAACTTAAACAAACAAACAAATATGACATGAAGTCCAAAATTCAAAACCTAGGAATTTCCCACCAAAGTGTGAGCCCTACAGCCAGGTGCCGAGAGGAGGAGAGGAGGGCAGACTTTAGCAATCCGGGCACTTGCTTACCAGCCGGCGCTGAGGCTTGATGAGGGGCCGGTTGATACCATTCATCTTGTGGTAGAGGCCGCAGGCGTTGCACAGGTAATGCCCTGTCCCGTCGCGCCTCCAGAGCGGGGTGGACATGGCCCCACAGTTGACACACTCTCTGCCTTCTGAGAAGTCATCAAACATATCTACTGGGTGGAAAATAATACAGAGGATTAATTCTTTGTTTGGGCCCAGAAATCTTACACTGGAAAATCTAGAAGCCAAAGGAATAATGTCTTTTCCTTGCAAGGTGTAAAAAACGATGGATCACCTCAGGCTGCCTCCCTGTTCCAGACTCTGGCCTCAACCTCTGGAACAGACAGTTTTACTCCTGGGCCTCCCAGACACCGCAAGGCTCTCCCCAGTCATGAGAAAAAGAAAGTCTGGCAGCAACCACCAGCGGCCTGGATTTTAGTCCCTATCTCTGCTTCAGAGCCTACATCCCCGAGGATCTCACCTAACACTGAATTCTGCCCAGACCTTCTTCCTCTTTCCCTTTCAAAATGGAGATCCTTTTCCATTTCAATTAAAAAAAAAAAAATAAATAAGATTTACTCTGGGAAATCAGACAATAAAATGTGTAAAGAAAATACAAATCAAATGTAATCCTATGACTGCAAGATCACCAGTGTTATTAACATTTTGTTCTATTATATCTTTTGCAGTACTTTATATATTGACATACATTTGTGCCTAGTCAAGGTCAAACTACTTAATTTTGAGCCAACTTTTTTCACTTAATACCAAGGCATTTCCCCACATTAGACATTCTTCATAAACTCAGGGTGCCTGGGGTGGCTCAGTCAGTTGAGCGTCCAACTCTTGATTTCAGCTCAGGTCATGATCCCAGGGTCATGGAATTGAGACCCTTGATGGGCTCTGTGCAAGGCATAAGCCTGCTTGGGATTCTCTCTCTCTCTCTCTCTCTCCTCCCCCACCCCATTCCTCTCCCCTGCTCTTGTTCTCTCAAATAAAATAAAATACATGAAAAATTAAAAGAAATTCTTCATAAATGCATTTTAGCATAGTATATATCATCCCATCATATATATGTGCCATCCTTTATTATTATTATTAAACTTTTACTCAATCACTATCTAGCTTCTGATTTTTGTTTGGTAAACACAGCTCATTTGGTGCACAAATCTTAGCATTTCTGCGTATTCCTTATGGTACTCTCCTAGAAGTAGAATTACTGCTCCAAAGGGACTACATATTTTTTAAAGATTTTAAAACTTTCAAACTGCCCTGCAAAAAGGGCTATAATTCACTTTTGTCATTTCAATATATCTGTTTGATATGCTGTATCTTAATTTGACATTTTTCCTGCCTTCTGTATAAAATGAAGGCCCACATTGCAAGCAACTGTGACTCAGCGTCACTCGCACTTCCAGGGGCATGTTGCCATGATGGTCAGTCTCATACACTCATTGACAAACCCCCTCCATCAGCACCTTTACCATCCAGGTCTACAGAATTTTATAACTGATAAATTTCACTCCCGCCCATTTCAGTTGCCCTGGTGAGACAGGCTGGGACCCCTTTCTAATTCCCAATGATCTGTATAAAGCCTGGCTCAGAACTTCCAGAAACCTCTCTGACTCCATGTACCCTGCTTCCTATTTTGAAAAATATTTTACATCCCATCCAGATTTTCCATCCCTAAGTACAGCTACCCTGCTGTTCAGGTGGTCCTTGTCCTACCACCAGAGGCAAGACTGGGTTCTTCTCTACTAAGGCAGGATATTTAGAAGGGAGGGTTTTAAAGAGCTCTCCCTCCACCAGGACCTAGCAATGGGGTTCAGCTAGTTCTCTGGCCCAGCTATTTGCTCCAAGGGAACGTGGGCTGAATAAGAGCATGGTGGGGGGCCCTCCCCTCAAGTCTGGGTACACAAACAGTCATTTGCACCTGCAAACAAGTAGCTGTGTGTCCACATTGAGTCAACAATGTGCAGGTGTGAGGGGCTATTTGCTCAGGCCAGGGAGCTGAGCACACACGGTCACAAGAGAGGCTATTTTTGCACCTGGGTCACACTGAGAACTCTCCAGCAAGGTCACCGGCTTTCAGAGCCACATACCAAATGGCAACGCCTGCCCACAGTTTGCTTCCCCACGACGGGCTGGCAAGGAACAAACCCGCACGCCACCCTCACCACCCTCACCACCATCACAGCCACCTGCAAACTGGCATGTGCTGTCCTTGCCCCGAGCCAGTAAACCCTGTTTCCTTGGCCCAGGCCTTCCCATGAGGGAACTGGAAAGGCCAAGGGAGTTCAAAGAAGGACCTTCGAACCAGGAGGGGCCCTGGCAATGTCATCCTTTTGGGGAGTGTCTGCTGTAAACACTAGATGGCACTACAGCCTCACAATTGAACCAAGACACATGAGCCTAAATCATGCTTGGGAATGGAGGACTTTTCTTGATCAATCATTTTTCCAGTCCAGACCTAAGGCAACCCTCTTATTCTATTTGTTTGTTTGTTTGTTTGTTTTATCATGGAAAGCTCTAAACACACTCAAAAGTGGACAGAATGAACTCTTATTTAATCATCATCCAGTTACTGACAAGTTGGGGCCAGTAGCTCTCTACTGACTTTCCTCTGTCCTGTATAATTGAAGAAAATCCCAGACATTCTACCATTTCATTCATAAATATTCCAGCATGCAGCTCTCACACATAAAGATGCATACTCTCCTCCTTTTAAAGACAGGCAAACTGGCTTCTTTCCTATGTTCTAGCTTATCTAAAAAAGCCTCTACAGACAAAAATCTCATAATCTGTTCTGTTTTGGAGGGGAGATGCCCTCTTCTCTTCACACTTATGGTTTTATATGCAGCGGTAGAATCTCATCGAAGGTGCCATCCTGGCAATTACAGCTCTCTTGGCTGGGTACTGGGCCTTAGTGGCACTGAGACCCCAAAACAAAGGTTTGCCTTAGAAACTCCTTCACATTTGTCTCACAGAATTGGTTACACACTCCAGCAACTATTTTACTGGCCAGGGAAAGGCACTGGAGGTTGGCAAATACGTATTTATCACCAACAAATGTTTACTGAGCATTGGCTCTTTAAGCCCTCTGATAGATGTCACAGATGCTAAAAGGGAACCTTATTCTCAGAATGCTAATAACTGAGTTGGGCAAATTGAGCCAAAATATCAATAATGAGTAACAATATTACTCAACTTGTATTCAGAACATACCTTAACCTAATTGGGGATTTGGATGGCAAATACTTTTGGTCTAGGGTAGGAAATGCAGAAGTCAGACCCAGATTAAAGGGTCAGGTGTTAACAACAGTAGCCAAAGGAAGAGAATGGGTAGGAGGTAAAGCCCATGCTTCCTAAAGGCATATGTCTATATGTCTCTCTACAATCTACTACACCTCCAAATCTACAGAGATTTCCATATTTTCTACCAGAAAGACTTGCACCATCCAACCTACTCAATAAAATGTTACACAATTTTACATGATTATTACAAAGACAATTTAACAATAAAGGAAAAGGCTTACGCTGCATGTTAAATGAAAAATGCAGTACACAAAATGCCATAGCCACTGTGGTAGCAGCTAAGGCCACCAGCAAGGAAGGAGTTTTTGTTAGGCTAGTTATTACGATGTGGGCTTTTCTTTCTTGAAAATGCCATTCTGGGGACGCCTGGAGGGCTCATTTGGTTAAGTGTCCAACTCTTGGATTCAGTTCAGGTCCTGATCTCATGGTTTCGTGAGTTCGAACCCTGCACTGGGCTCTGCGTTGACAGCATGGAGCCTGCTTGGGATTCTCTCTCTCCCTCTCTCTCTGCCCCTCCCCTACTCATACTTTTTGTCTCTAAGTGAATAAACTTAAAAAGTAAAAAAATCATCACTCTGTAATGTCATATTTGCCTATTTTTAAAAATCTAATAAAACAACAACAAAAACTGGGGCACCTGGGTGGCTCAGTTGGTTAAGTCTCTGAATCTGGCTTAGGTCATGACCTCATAGTTCGTGAGTTTGAGCCCCGTGTGGGGCTCTGTGCTGACAGCTCAGAGCCTGGAGCCTGCTTCAGATTTTGTGTCCCCAATTACATTCTGTCTGTCTCTCTCTCTAAAAAAATAAACATTAAAAACAAAAAACAAAAACAGAAAAACTTTTGATCATGTTAAGCAGCTCCAGTCCACTACGGGGGGGAGGGGGGGTTACTATTCTACTCTCTTGCATCACACACACATACCCTACCTGAGACTGCAGAAAGGAGAGAATGAAGTTCAAACCCTGCTGCTTAGCAGCCACTCTGCCAGAAGTAGGAGGTACTAGGCAGTGAGTGAGCCCCACATCAGCATGAACATCTGGCAGTATGAACCCTGGTAACAACCAGCTCTTACTCCTTCATTAGAAGTACCCTGAGGGCTGGGGTGCCTGGCTGGCTCAGGCAGCAGAGCCTGCAACTCTTGATCTCAGGGTTGTGAGTTCAAGCCCTGTGTTGAGTGGAGAGATCACTTAAAGATAAAAAATCTTAAAAAAAATTTTAAGAAATGCACTGGGTGGAACTTCCCAAAGGGCCAGCAGGCGGTGGTCTAAAGCCAGTTTATAAGCCAGATTTCTAAGGGCACAGCCAATACCTTTACTTATGAAAGCCCCACCTACTCAGGGCTGAGCATCACGGGAATGGGTCCAATCACTTAGAGGTCAACAGGAATTCAACTCTCTCGGAAGTGGGTCAGCATTACCTCACATTGGAGAAAAGACTTGTAATAATAGTTGTAAAGTACTTTGCAAATAAGAGGGAAAAATCACAACAATGGCTGTAAAGTGCTTTGTAAACACCAAATGAGATAACATTGATGGATGATTGTTAGGTTTGGAGGGGTGGAGAAGGAGGGGGAAGGCCTGGGACAAATCTTTGAGAGGGATTTTTGCAGAAGGGAGAGGATAGATAAAAGAGCTAGGAGATTTGGGAATCTGACCTTTTCTCAAACCACTGGGGCACGTTGGGAATTGTAAATTGTGTATCAGTATCACTCTCAGACTTGGCCAAGCTGGGGACTTTTGGGCAGGGAAGGAACTGGAAGCATGGTTGACAGTGTATACTTATGAGGTCACCAGGCTGCTGCTCACAGGGCCATAGTAATTCATGACTATTTTAGCAATCAGAAACACAAAACGGGTGC